TGCAACGACTGTATTATCGAGCAGGAATACAGGATAATACTGGCAACAGAACCAGGACGACAGGAAGCCCAATGATGCTGGTATTGTGGCTGGCAGCAGATTTCTATTTGCACTTGTAATTGGCGCGTTGGTCCGAGGGAGCAATCTACCAAACCCAATCTGTAAGCCCTAACACTCCCCCCGATTTAGCTGCACAGTCATCGACTTTAATGAATAATTGAGCACACAATTCCCCAAAAATAAAAGTGAAAAATGTTTGATACGTGAAAATTTCCGCATTTTATTGCTCTATTCGGGCTGTTGGTTGGCAGTTGGGGCCCCTTTTTATCAAATTAAATCAATTTCCCGGGTTTTATAAATAAATATTTTACCACGAACATTTATTTTGAAATGCTGTGCATAAATTGAATTTTTTTATTGATTTTTCAATGGTTTTCTACATTTGGTGATTCGACATTTAAAATTGCTATTTATTTTTGTGAAAAAAATAAAAATATATAAAGATATTGCTAAAATCTTTTGGATTCGAATTATGCAACAAAAATGTTTTCTTTACTTTTAGAACCAAAATATTACTTCCATTACAGATTTTTGTTATCCCACCACCATCATCCATTTATTACCAACACATAATGAAGATGATGAATACGTTATTGAAATGACCACAGCACTTGACCGTAACAACTTGTCCGAAACAAAATGCATTATAATGATTTATGAACGTGGGGTCCCTGACCAAAAAATCAACCCTCTAGACAAATTAACAAGGATATATGATGATGATGATGCCTCGCTCCAAGCCATTCACCCACCCAAAAAACAAAGCCTGTCAAAGCCACAAAGAGACACTCGACCCAAGCAGATGCCCGAAGGTGTTTTCCCGACCAAGTTTAAACAAAAATTAAAACACCTACCCTCCCCCATTCGATGGTCACGACCTCTCAGTCCCTTTTCCTTGTCTGAACTTGAAGCTAATCAAAAATGTTACACAAAAGAGCGAAAGGAAGTAGAAGGAAATACAGTTTACCACGAACTCCTTATACTCTTTATTTTGTATGTTTTCAAAATATTAATCTTAGTGTGCTAAATAAAATCACCATAAATTGCAATTAATTAAAATATTTAATAAATAAAAATAATAAAATTAAAATAACATTTTAGGTAGGTAAAGAACATTTTTAACATTTTAATAATGCCTTGAATTGATAAATTTCATATAATTTCAAAGCCTGGCTAAAATTGTTTAAATTAATTTTTTGTAATAATAGAGGAATTATTTCATGCTCACCAAATAGATTTGTAATTTGTTAAATATTTTTGAATTATTTTTGAACATGTCTTCTTTAACTTTCTTAATTTTGATCCTACACTAAATCATTATTTCTGGCTGACCTTCTAAGTTATGATACCCGAAACAAAGCTGCGAAAAAAACCCAAAACTTGTCTTAAGCGAAAGTGCAAAAGTTTTTCAAGGAGTTTTTATGCGCAACCAACAACCACCGGAAAAAAACATAAAAAATGTTCCCAACTTGGACGCATACTTCTTGTTGTAGTGGCAAGAAAGCCAACATTGTTGCCATGATTAGCATTTTATCAGCAGATCCTTTGGCTCATCATGCCGTGTCTTAGGACAAACACTTGGGCATCTTTATGGTAATTTAGTTTCGCCAAGATGCGGCAACAGCTGACAATGTTGCGGGAATTTTCCGCCCCCCAAATTAAAGAATAAGGAGAACCCTCTAGCTCTAGCTCACTCCCTTAAAGTCGACTACTGGTAGCAAGTAGTACTTGCCACATGAGGAAGCTGCGTGTCACATAATCAAAATTGAGGCAAACACAACCTGCAGGGTGCTTTTTATGTTTTTATGTGCGGATCCCATTAATTTATTGCCAGAGACATTGAGACACCTCCAGCCGAACAAAAGGCGACATTATTATTTCATTATTATGCCAAACGCATCAGGATCCCGGCCCCCAACTCCCGATGCACGTGGGCAGGCTCATATTACATACAGTGTGGATTCCAAGGAGCATGGAGACCGGGAAAATGGGGGCTTTTTTCGGAGGTGGCAGAGGCAGATGATTCATGCGATGGCAAATTTTTTGACGCCCGCCACATAAATAAAACAGGCAGCCCGGGGAGCTCAGACATATGTTTGGATAGTCCCCGGGTCAAAGGGCCCGGTTCGGAGGCTGTAATACTTACTCGTAAATATTTTTATAGGCACTAAGGTTTCCGCAACGGATGAACAAAGCGCGAAGAGTCCACAAAGGCAGGTGCTCCGTAGAATTCAATTAAATATTTGCTGCGGAAAGGAAAGCCTTTCTCTCTTTATTTAGGAAATTGTGGTTAAATCAAAAACCATTTTCTGACAACATTTTTGCTATAAAACTTTTAATTAATTAGGTCTGTGCTCTTGATTTCTATATATGATTTGGTAGTGATAAGTCTATAAGGACAAAACTTCTGAGCTAATAAAATAGCAATAGTTTTTACCAATACAGGGTCGTTTTCTCATACGCATGTTGAATTTAAAGAACGCTGTTAAAAATGTCCACACTCTTTAAAGGCCTAAACCCTACTTTAAATAAAGAATGCAGTCGAGAAAACGGTAGAAATATTCTTTTAATCATGTTCTGAGGAAACCTATATTCAAATTTAAAATGCAATCGAGATTATCCATTGTCCTTTTAGATTTAATTTAATTTAATTTATATATTTAGTATCCCAGCGCTACAAGTGTACACTTATAATTATGGCGCTAGTCACATTGATCATATTCCTCTTTTCCTTTTGTATTGTATAAAAAACGAATCGTTAGTTTTTGGCATTTTTTTCATGCAATAGATTTTTTAAGTTGATAAAACCATATACTATTTTTATACCCTTGCAGAGGGTATTATGATTTCAGTCAGAAGTTTGCAACGCAGTGAAGGAGACGTTTCCGACCCCATAAAGTATATATATTTTTGATCAGCATCACAAGACGAGTCGATCTAGCCATGTCCGTCTGTCCGTCTGTCCGTCTGACCGTCTGTCCGTCTGTCCGTCTGTCCGTCTGTCTGTTTCTACGCAAACTAGTCTCTCAGTTTTTGAGCTATCGGGATAAAACTTTCCCAAATGTCTTCTTTCTATTGCAGGTAGTATATATGTCGGAGTCGACCGGATCGGACAACTATATCTTATAGCTCCCATAGGAACAATCGGAAAAAAAAAACTTTAAAAAATTCTAGCTTCGGTGTTTTTTGAAATATTACCTTCTACTTTTGGGGATGTTATTTTTTAATTATTTCTGAATTTCGAATTAATTATTTAAAAAATCGGACTACTATATCATATAGCTGCCATAGGAACGATCGGAAAATTAATGGAAAAGTAATAGGAAATAAATTCTAGCTTCTTTGGTTTTTATTGTATTATCTTCTACTCTAGGATATGACTCTTTTTAAATATTTCCAAATTTTAATTTTAATTTGATCAAAATCGGACGACTATATCATATAGCTGCCATAGGAACGAGCGGAAAATTAATGAGAAATATTAGAAAATTGAACATTTTTGCGATTTGTTAATTAATAGGAATGATCTGCAAGGGTATATAAGCTTCGGCTGGCCGAAGCTAGCTTCCTTTCTTGTTTATTCTTAGCGCCTGTTATTAAGAAACTTGTTATTTCAAATTTAATCTGTAAAAACTTTTTATTTAATTGAATGCCTAAAAAAATCCAAGTTTTATTAAACATCATATATTTCTTATACGTATTAACAATTAACCGAATTGATTGAATCCTTCAACCCAATCCCCCATATGTATGGCAAAAAGTTCGTTATTCCGATTGACTGCTTTATTTTTCCCTCTCCCAATTTGTACAATAAATTTCCAATTTGCCAGAATCAACAATGTTAAATACCTGGCCGAACAAACATCGCAACCCACCTTTTTTCGCAACGAACTTTCGACTCCTGCTGCTAATCCTTTTGTGCGTGCGCGTGTGTGTAAACCATTTAGCGCCAATTAAAACATAATTGCGGCATCCGCGGATTGCGATCGGGCACTAAATCATTCTCGGGCCCTTTCGGTTCTCATTTCGGCAGGACGAGAATTACGGCACATAAACGCTGAGAAACCACAACAAATGGCTAAAAGCGCGGGCGAAAACACGGAAACACTCGGGCGCCATTCACCGTTTAATGGCTTCAATTCAATCTGAGGCGCACTTTAATCTTATTGCACTTGTAACGTTGATTAAAAACACAAAACCCCCGTTTTCACCCACACGGGCAAACATTTCGTTTTAAGGACGTAATTCCGACAGGAGATTTTTTGGCTGGCTACCTCGAGCGCAGAAACCACCCGCTAAAACCACCACACACCGCCGGTTAAGAGCAATAACTGTTATTCCTACGGGCTCCTTTTTGGAGTTCAACGCGGGGTGGTGAGTTCTGATCAGCTGGTTTTGGGGTAGAACTGAAACAACGGACATGGGGGTGGAAATTGTTTGAAATTGCCGGGCTTTTTCACTGGTGTACACAGGAATTTGCATGAACGAGCCATGTGATTTAACGTAAAACGGTGGAATTTGAAACACGGAATTTGGTTTTTTTTCCTTTTCGATCTATTTAGGAACAATATCAAACATGTATCGAATTACCAATTCGAATCAAACTCAAAAAATGTATAATTATTTTTTACAGAATTTATTGCATTTTTCATGTTTTAATATCAGTACTTCAATATGTTCGACAGTTTTTGCGCACAGGGAGTTTTACGGTGTTACAGTCTATAATATTTTAAAAGACATATGATTTGAATCTTGCTCTACATATTTAGGAATCAGAATTTGAAATACGAAACCGTTATAAAATTTTACTTACCGTGCGATATTTTCCCAATCATCACGATTTTATTCACGTCTCCCATCTCTATGACGTAGTGATAACGTTTCTGCAGGAATTTTTCGGCACGCCCCGAACGGCCACACTTCGCGTCACACATTTTTTGTTCGCACCGAATTGTTTCTGTTTCGCCCTGCGTTTAAAGAATTTGCGAATCTACTCAAAATGCCTGCGGTTGTGCGTATAAAGCGGCGAATCGACGAGGAGCCGCACACCGCATTTGTGCTGAATGGCAAGCGGCGGCGCATCCAGAACGATGAGAACTCTCTGGAGGATTCGGGAGCGGTGGCGGGAGCAACGGCATCAGAAGCAGACAAAGACGAACTGACCACCGTCCTCAAGTTTGCCGGCACGCTGGAAAAGCAGGTGAGGAATGGGAATCCATATTCCTAATATATCCAGTTGGAGAATATTCCCCTAGGCAAATACTTTTTATTGATTCTGTTTACTTAAATCCATACTGGAACTTCCCCATACTGTTGTACCATTTTAACAGAGGTCGATGTCCTCATCTTTAAGATTTTAAAACTGATAGTATTTCATACCAGATATAAGATTTTAAAATCCATAGACATGGTAGCTATTTATCATAGGAAATAAATTTTGTTAATATCCAAAATCTTATTTTATTTACCAAAGATTAGCTTTATATCTTATTTACATATTTTTAAACCGTATCTGTTTTTTTTTAACATATTGGTTGAAAAAAAATATATTTGTATCCTGCTTGCCATTTTTTTAAAGTTTTATAGAATTATCTTCCCCCCAAGACAAGCGTCGCAATACTGATAAATACAAAGTTATTAAAACTCTTATCATAAAAGTAAGGGGATATAGTCAGCTGCTCACTATAACGATTTTATCAAAAGAATGTCCATAACCTTAATTAGATTGTAGAATTTATGGCATTTTATGAATATGTAGGCTTTAACTGGACATTACATCTAGTAAATTTCAACAAATTTTTGAATTTAATAAATATTTTTAATATTTTAAAGTAAATATAACTGATATCCTAACTTTGTCTTTAATATCTCATCCCAGGATGACTGTGCCACCCGTCAATTTGCGGCTGCCAGACTCAACAAAACCACGGCTCGTGAGTTGGTGCAGCAGCAGCGATCCAATGATGCAGCAATTGCGAGTGCTCTTAGGCGAGATCGTCAGCGTCAGGAGGCTCAGCAAAATGCCCGTGAGCAGCGTTTCCGGGTGGTAAACTGCCTGCGCAGTACGCTCGAGGATACTTCAGCCGAAGCGGAATTCCCGGAGAATCAGAACCCGGAGTCCAGGAGTCACATTACCATAGTGGACATTGAATCGCAACAGCAACAGCAGCAGCAGTCGGGAGCAGATAATCCAGATGTTCAGGATCAACAGGGCGCCATAGAACCCAGCAGCCATGATCAGCAACAACCTGCCGATTCCGATGTGGGTTATGTTTACGATCTATATGTTCCCGAAAATGAGATGCAGGCCGCCTATGTCGATATGATGGACGACAACTACTTAAGGTTGGTCATACATATTGAGCCGCAGAAAACGTTGAGCCTTACCAATTACTATATGTAATCGATTACTGTCTATATATCTATATGTAAGCGGTGTGTCTGTGTGTCGGTGCTAGCATTTCTGTGTGGGTGTGCGTGTGTCTGTATTCGTAGTCCTCGGGCCAAGTCTCATATTTGCATATTACTTTTTATCATCTAGACATAATTGCAATCACTGATAATAGCTCAATAATACGATTCGTTCTCCATAAGGTTGTATTATCCGTTTAATTACTACAACAACTGCTACTGGTAGACATGACAAAAGCATAAAGAAGAGAAACAGAGAGAGAGAGAGAGACAAAGCCCAGGCATTTAAGATGCGTGATGACACCCAACACCCCACCCACGACAATAAAAAAGGACTGCAACTGGCAACTCACATCACGTATAGTTCACTAATATCAGCATCTGACAAATGCCTAAAAAACTACCGATTGAATGGATTGTTTTTGTGAGATTAAAATGGCACGATTTAAATATACGTTTTTACTGAAAGCTATTTCTTAAAAGAAATTGCAGAAACGAACTTTAAAACCTGTTAACCAAGTTATGTTCGTGAGATGTTATTTTATTTTCCAATCTTAAACTATGCTATGCTTAAAAATATGTATCATAAATATGTAAAGTTTACATAATTCCCTCTTGCCAAAGTCTTTGAATAAAATAATTATGTGTTAGTTTCCCATTAATTACCAAGTTCTTCTGTTTATAGTTGTTAACACGCACAATATGTGCACTCATTCGATAGAATTTTAGGCAAATGTCTCGTTAACATAAGTTCTTAGATTTAATTAGCTATTAGATTAGTATAAATTAGCCTAACAAGCACACACACACACACCGCATATTCTAAAACTGTTTTCGCTGAGTATTTTTCATTTAATTTTCGCCAGTTGTCTGTTGCTTTTTTCCTTAATTTTTGCATTCCGAAAAAAAAACAGAAAACAATAGTGCTGAAGTCTATTTAAGTGTATAGTTTTAGTTTAGTTTTGCTTTATTTTTGTTGGGGTCTAGCGTTGCCCGAAACCGAAAATAAACTGAATAAAGAAATCAACATAATTACATGACAAACTTTGCTGTGTTTCAATTTCAAAGTGCTATTAAGAATTAATTCTTCGAAATAAATCAATTAACTATTTCGCCTATTCCACAGAGTGATTCCTGTGGGAGAGATTGTCCTAGAGGATTGCTACAACGATCAGGATGAAGATTACGATTCGGAGGACTCGAATCAGGAGAACTACTTTACAAATGATTACCCGGACGATGAGGAAGCGGGTGCCATGGGTTCTGATGACGAGCTGTGCCGGCAAATGAACAAGTTTATGCTCGGTAAGGTCCACGTATGAAGTTATTTTGAATTAAGTTCTTGACTGGTTTTAAACTTTCAGATGACGACGAGGATGAGTTTGCCAGCACCAGCGATGATGATGATTATGCCACCTACAGGGATCCCTATGTCCATACGATTGACACCGAAGAGGACTCATTTGTGGACGACGTCGACTTCTACAATGCAGAGCGGGAAAGGGGCAGTGCCTATGAACGCTATAAGCGAAGGATTCTAAAGGAGTTGGAGGATCAGAAGGACGATGAGGATGATGACTCATTCGCTAGTGCTGATGATGAATGATTTTTGAGTTGCGCCTTAGCGGCTTTAAAAAAAGAAAGATAAAATATAATTTAAGTATAGAATAGGATTATAATAAAAAGTTCGGCTATATTCTGTTGGTTTTTAAAGTTACAAAGAGTGCTGTAGTGAAGTACATTTACATTATCATCTAAATTTATTCGTGTGGTTCGATTTTTCAGTCTTGATGTTTTGAATTTGAGGTTTTGGTGCACAACCCTCCATATAAAGTCGAAGGGTCTCCTCGTCCATTTTCTCGTTCTCCTTTGGTGGCTTATAGTCTTGGACATGGTCCACCCGCAGTGTTCTATCCATGATCTTGATTCCGTTTAGATTGTCGACGGCCAGAACTGTTGATCTTTGATCCTCGTAGCACAGGAAACAGAAGCCCTGAAGTTATAGGGTATATATTATAATCAGGTAAGGAATATTGAATCGTTAACTACCTTTGACTTCCCCGTCTTGGAGTCCCGGATCAGGTTGATGTTGACTACTTCACCATACTGCGAAAACACGCAGATCAAATCGCCCTCCGTAAGGTTGTACGGAAATCCTGCCACGAAAATCCAGGCCGAGTCCCGGTACATGTCGTGCCAGCTTTTCTTCCCACCATGTTGTAGTTCATGCTCGCTTAGCTTAAGCACATTTTTCATATTTGTTAGAGGATTCATTTTGAAATTTATTTATTTGTTTTGTTTATGTTTTGGTGGAAATATGACCGCTCACAGTTGATTTAAAAATACCATCACACCCTCTTTTGAAGAGTTTCTAATGCCGCCAACGATAGTTTCAGGATTTCATGTATAAAATATTTTAGCACTGAAAAAATGAAAAAAGTAAGGAAATCGTTTACCATTATTAAAAAAACAGCTTTTAAATAATTTTTACTATTAACATTTTTTTATTAATATTTATTCGATTTAATAAAAAGATATATAAATATATGAAAAACACTGTAATTGCATGTTATTTTGCATACAAGACTAAAATACAAATTATTTAAATATAAATTTTAAACTACTACTAAACATCGTTATAATAACCGCACTATCGTAGCATGGTCACACTAACCATCGCCTCGAAACCCAACTTCGTCCAACCCGTCAGTCCATCTCCAGCAAGCTGGGCCGCACATTTGTTGTCTTGTCGCGTTGCGTTGTAAAAGCGAATCGGAACGGAACCCAGTTATTTGTGCAGTGGGACTGTGGAAAATGTTGTAATTCTACCACGATAGCACGGCCAGTGATCTATTCGAGAAAAAGAGGTGTGTACGAATGCGAAAATTTGGATTACATAGCCCCCCGTCTGCCTGGGTGTGTGCGAGTGTGTCTCTCTGTGCGTGTGTATGTCGGGTGCATGTTCGTGTGCGTGCAAAAGGAAAAAAGATATGCTGAAAAAAAGTATCTCTTCTCTATTTAAAAATGTGTGTCAGTGTATTGTGCGGCAGCAGCAAAAATAATAAATAATAGCTGCCGCTACTGCGACTGCTTGCTGAAAAAGAAAGAAAAACTAAAAACCGTTTGGCGTCTTTGGGGTCTTTTAATTGTGCCAAAGCCATTGTTTTATAATTTTCCCATCATCATTCAAGACGCGTTCTGTGCCGAATAACAGCGAATAACGCCCCGTCTTCTTTTTTTCCCTTTATTTTTTTTGCAAAGGAAGCTGAGCTGTTCTCCCCTCTCTGTCTGGCACTCGCAACTATGCCTGCGCCTTGCTATTGGAATAGTTGGTATGTAAAAGACATAAGTGCGATATGTCCGTTTCACACTAGATTTTTGTCACCCTGTGCCAGCCGCACTCATACACACTCACACACACACTCACCTGAGACAACTCCACCATATGTCTGTCTGTCTGTCTATCTGTCTGCTTTTCCTTAACACATCCACACTCACATTCCACCCCATTGGCAATGCCTCTCTTTCGTACAGCTGCAGTCAAAATAATAGTAATGGGCCCTCGGTTCTACGGCCGTTACGTATCTTGCTGTTTTTTTATAGAGCCCTTCACGATGGGAGCAGAGCGAACAAAAGCATTCCTTCAAAGCTGTTTTCTTTGGTCTTACAACTTCAACCCCAGAAAATTTCGAACGCCTCGTTATAGCGCCTTGAAACTTAACTATAGCTCAAAGTTGTCCACTTTGAAATATTTTTATTGTATTTCTAACCAATCACTCTTTTGTATATAGTGCTTGGTTACACTTGAAATAATTCGAATGGGAAACGAGAAAAGAACAAACGAACAATGGTCATTCTCCTAAGCTGTGTCCTTATGACTCACAGCTTGCATCCCTTGAGGAAGTCACATTCCTTAACCATTGCTTTGAGCCCTTAAAAACTGCATTTAAATTACTAGAACTAATTAATAATTCTAATAAATATTCTTGATATTATAGCACTCATCTAAGCCTTTGTTTTATAACTAACAATTATTATTAAAGATACTTCTTATTTAAGTACGAAAAAACAAAAGTGTACTTCAACTAAATAAATTTAAAAATAAATTTCATGTTAATTGTACAGCTGGTTTTTTATACCTTTAAACACTTCAGACAATTGCTTATTGTTTTATTAATATGTTAAAAATAATTCTTAATCTAAATTGGAAATCATTTATATTTAGCCTAAATATCATTACCAATCGATTTTAAAATACTGACCGCCACTGTAAGCTCTGTTTGTCTTTTTGTTTTTGTCCACGCAAAAAGGAGGAAATATGTATTTTTCTTCGCTTGTTTTTAATGTTTAGGTGTGGTCGTGCTTTAGTTGCGGGCTTACACATATCCAGTTGTATGTATTTCTTCAAGCGGAAGCGGTCGTAAAAAAGTTTTCGTGGCGGTGCCCACACAGTTGACATTGAACTCTCGCCTGAGTCTCTGAAAATCTCGCTCTCTCCTGCTCCTGGCCCTAGCCCCTCCCCCCCCCCCTGACCGGCCATCCCGCCCACTCTGCTAACCAACTGATATTCGGCCCGCTCTGTTACTTTCCAAAAACGCCAAACTCCTGGCCTTTCATTTTTTTCGCTTGCCGGGCCACATTTACTTTTCTTCATACCCTTTTGCCAAGTTAAGAGTTTTTGTGAAAGGAGAGAAGTGTTTAAGGGGTAGGGTAAATCATTTAGCAACTATTTTTAGCCGCGCACTAATTGTTTAAGCGGATTTTATTTCTACTTTTCCATTACTGTCCACATACTGTCTATAGAAAGTGATTTATTTAATCTATAGTTTTAGTTTTTCTATTTTAATGATATTATCCAACCCCCTTTTTAATTTGGACAATCCAGAACTTTTCACTAAAATTTATATTTTTTGGGTTTGCTTATTTTAAGCAAACTGAAATTATAAGTACATCTTATATTTTTAATAGAAGAAATTAAAATTCAAATCACATCCCCCACCCATCCTTAAATATTCCCCCCATATAATTTGAATTATATCCATTCTATGAGAGCATTTTGGGTTTCATGTTGACTCATTTTGCCTGTGGACTGCGGGGGTTTGTGCGGGCAAGCTTTCTCGTTATTATTATTACGAGATATGTACAGATATGTACTGGGGCCCCGTAAATATATATGGTTGGCTCCTACTGAGGTTATTATGTGGCTCACGTCTCTGGGAAAGATTCGCGCCGCGACTGCGCACGATTATGGCACATTTCGAGTGACGAGAGCAAAGTTGACTGCGCTGCGACCGCCTGTTGCAGAAAACGTGTCAAGTTGGCCAGATACATCTACTATATGTTTATATATATAAATATGTATAGGTGCTATATGTGCAAGAGCATAACCAACCGAGCTGCCCCCGGCGAGAGCCCGATTTCGAGTTCGATTAATTTCGTTGCGCCTCGGTAGCTGTGCACTCAACTCAAACATCCGCTCAAACGGACAGCGCGCTCACACTAATTCCAATGGGGAACGTTTACCTCGCCGTCGACCAACCCATTACACCACTGCCCACATCTGCCAGTCCCCCGGATTCTCTTGCCATCGGCATACCTTCGAGAAAACCCTTTTTATCTAGGGGAGTGTTGCCTTCACTCAGGTGACAACATCTGTTCGGATCGAGTCTCTTCTGTATCACACTAGACTGCAAGATTTTGATTCAGTCAGATTTTATTCGATTTTCTTAATTCTATAAAAATACCTTTAAAATTCCAGTTTGATATCTGAAAAAATTAAATTATTTGGAAAATATTTTTTTTGTCAAACATTATTTTTAAGTATTCTCCTTGGAATATCTTCAAAAGTTAGATTTTTACGTAAGAGAAATGTGGAGGTACTTTTGACACTAGTCCACAGAGGTTAATAATTGATTTGTCTTTACTATATATGATTTCTCTTATAAAAAACATTTATTATTCCAACTCCTAATTGTTAAAAATCCCATAACAGTCTAAAGACACAATAGTTAATTATCTTAAATTTTTGTTTAATTTTTTTAAGATTAAGTTACCCTTAAACTACCATGTTGGTTAGTGTTAACAGCTTACAATGGCAGAAACCTAAAACATTTCAAAGAAACTGCCAACAGAAATTCGCCGCTCTACACTTTTTGCCTTGTATCTTATTGCTGTTTACACCTGTTCATGCCGACGCCGCTGTCGTTTTATATTCGCATTTTGTTTTTGTTTACATTTATGTAAAAAATTCTTCTTAAACGCTCCATATTTGGCGTATGACATGCCCCCCAGCTCTTGAAACTATATACTGATGTATGTGCGCGGGGGAAATGCCAAACCCACACAAAGTATAAGAATTTTTGGGTTGGTGGGCTTTTGTAGCTTGCTGCTGATGTTGTGTTTCATATGCGTATCAAATAATTGAGCTCAATTGATTTCAATTAAAACTGACAAGTCGCTGGGGCTTTTTGTTGTTGCTGCTGTTATGGTTGTTAGTGCTAAGTCATATGAAACAAAAACCATCAAAATGCCTCAAATGTGGTCTCTGTTTGCTTGATGAGCTGGGTCGAATGAGAAATGCGCTAGGAAAAAGTTCTTTCGAAAATCATTCAATAGATTAATTGTGGGTAAATCCTCAGTTTAAAGTTCAAAATGTAGGAAATGCAAGTTCCTAATCTTTTATTGACATTCATAAATCAAGTATTGAATTTGTTGTTTTCATAGTGTCTCAAATATAGTGTCTATTTGATCACCATTTACACTATTTAATTTACATGATCTCGAATGAGTGAAAACACGATTACCTGCTGATAAGACTAGGTAATCATTTAAGCTGTTGCTGATTCGTTGAAATATTGGGAATTTTAAGACCCAGTTCTTGATTACAAAAATATTGTTGATTCAGCTGATATTTTATTTTCATATCTACCTATTGTGCCTCAGATAAGAGAGAAAGTCCCTTCCTTTTTTTGTGACTCACCAATGAGACACAGAATAATTTTTAATAATCCATATAAAATTTACTCATGATTCACCTGAGCAAATAGAACGAATGGAATGTTACCTGATTTGAATAATTGGAGCTCAAATAGTTTTAATTGAACATGTGTAATTTATAGATAAACAGCATTTCTGATTTCTAATAAGTACTTACCTATATATAAGCCAAAAGGGGAACTACCAAACCTGAAAAGAAAACATTTCGCCCACGCGAATATCAAATGCTATTATAAAGATACTTTGGTCCATTGTTAACAGACTTTCAATAGCGATCGTAAAACTTAAAAGGCATTCATCGATAAAAGAAGATGAATTGCGATTCCTTATTTCAAGAGAGCATAATAAATTTGAATTTTTTAAATATTCATAGAAGACTATCTTACAAGTAATTTCTTGAAGCATTAGAGCTGGTATAATGTTCGTTTTATTTTTAGAGAACCGAAGCCCCAAACAATTCGTTCGAATTGCTGTCCATCTAAACTATTTTTCGCTTCACTTCAGGAATAGATATTTAAGAATAGCTCTTGAAATACCAAATTCCTGTAAAGGATTTTGCAGCCAAGCGAAGATCAACCCCTTATAGCCTATATGCCCCGCGATTCGTAGAGCACCGCATTCGTCTATTAATACGAACAAGTTTCATATGGGGAGGGTGATATTTTGTGTATATTTTCGTATTTGTTTATGAATTTCAACGCTTGTGCCAATTGCCCCCGTTTATTATTGCCGTTTGTCTTATTGAAATTCAACACTTTATTTAACAATTCATATGCGCGGGGCCACTCAGTCGGCCGCGCTTGGCTAGAAATGAATAATAATTAAATTATATTGCTACTGTCTGTGTCTCTGGCTCTCCGCGTCTGACGTT